TTTAAAAGAAATACAACACAGCGATAACATTGACAACGTACGACCGGAAAAGCTATACCGTTTGTACCGAGTATTAATATCGGGTCAATTACTATTATTATTGTACATACTACGGCGAAGTGCCACGTTTTATAATATGTGAAACAACATACAATGTAACATTAATGTTCTCCAAACTGTTGTTGTCCTTGCGAAAATAAAGTTTTTCTCTGTCTAGCGTACACGCGTTTTTGACGGTCTGATGAGTTTTTTTTTTTGCAAAATTGTGCGTTGACCTTATCCGGCTGCGAACAAAACACTTGTCCTTTTTCGATTCGACAATACTCGAGATTAACAGCAGTTGTTATACATACATCACAACAACAGATATACCTGTCAATTCACTACAACGTAACGGCATTAATGATTTACTTGTTACGGCCGGGGAAACATATGTATGTTTTAATTATTACAAATTACAAAAAATTAAAAAAAATTATAAAATTATTTGCAATTTTAATTTTAAATGAAATAATAATGTAAGTGTTTGACCGTTCTCGATTCTGATCGGAAAAACAGTTAAGTTAGGTTAGGCAATTGAAAATCACAAACTAAATTTAAGAGTCTTAAATTAATAATAACAATATACTAGTTTCAAAATATGTAATTGACTGCATTTGTGGTGAAGGCGTCTTTAAATGATAAATATTTTATTTAGTGTTAAGTAAACGGATAAATTGTTTTTTATACTTTATTAATTATTAGTTATTACTCATCCATTAATAGTCCACATTTTTTTCTAAATTAGCTACACATTTTCTACTCGTTTGACAATTACATGTTACTTTTAAAATTCTGTGGTGTGTACCAATAATTACAAACGTCTAACGTGACCAAACTTGTATCTCTTGTAAGCACTACAGTGGCCACTTACCAGACAGATTCCAACACAAACCTCAAAAGGCTCAAGACCATCATAACAGCCTAATCTATCCTCGATATACTTGATGGATCTGTTCGAATGTGTGTGTGTGTGTGTTATTACACAACATTTTTTTTTATTATTCTTATACATATATAATAATAATATATATATTGAAAAATAATAATATAATCAGTTTTTCTTCGCCGAATTTCACAACTCTCGGCTGTCAATATACGTTTATGACTTATGAGAAAATATAATATAAAACATAAATATAAAGACTCGCCGTTTAGGCACGGTACGCGATATACACGGATCGATAACAACACCCGAAAAATCCGCGAAAATAATAATATTGTTATAAAAAATATATATATATTATATTATATTATTATGTTTATATACTATCATCGGTCAAAATCGCGGTGAATACAAATTACAATAATGATAATACGGTATTACACGATTATGTGCACGCCAGACGTGAGAAGTATAAAAAATATATATATATATACATGTATATATCTATTTATAGAGACTTCTCAGGCTTGCCGCGCGTTGCGATTGAAGTGTAATAATAATTATAATCCGAGACTTCTGTGTTTAACAGAGGCTTACCGTCGTCCGGTGAATAGTAAGAAAATATTTCAAGAAAGAAAACACAACCGTTGTAAATCTTTTATATTACAGTGTTAAATTGACGAGTGCACGTTATCACAGTGTACCGCAATGATTGTGCCGTACTCGATCGGTCCATAGTAATCATGTGAATTATAATATTATCATATTTTGTTACACTTGTTATATTGTTACATACATATGCGAGCATTGGTCCTACGTCAGTATTATTTAGCAGTAGGATATATTTTCGGTGAAAACTAGCTAAGAGTTTTAGCAATAAATTACCGCCCGACCAAGTCTTCAATGGTTTTTTAATGCTGATTCTAAAGTATAGAGATTTAGTTATATTAGCATTTTTATGGTCTAAAAAAGCTCATCTTACTTTTTGTTAACTTGACAAATGAGCTTTAGGAGTAATGGTAATTTCTTTACAAAATTCTTCATGACTTTTACAATTTTAGTCGTCAGAGTACAATCTTTTTTTTATACATCTTTCTTTAAATGTTTTATTAAGGTTCGGTGGAAAATATTGCAAAAATCGTATTTATTCGAGGTTTTAAAAAATAATTATTTAATTTTTAGTGCTTAGGAATTATTATTGAACCATTAGTGTTATTTTAATTGCTTGTTACAATATTTGATATTATGTTAATTATTTTGAAAGTATTAAAAAAAATTATAATAATTATGTTGTTAAACGAGATCGGTTAAGGTTTGATTAAGATGTTTTATAACTAAATAAACCTATTGTCTACGTTTGTTGCGTGGAAAGGTACAAGTTTATTAATTCATTAAACTCTTGAAAAGAATATAATTAAAAAAATAAAGTCAACAACTTAGGGATGCTAAATCTTACATAATGTTTAAATTAACGAAAACGCTATGAATTATAAATGAAAAAATATGTATATTTTATTTAGCCAATCACAAGATTTGTCATATTATTGTCAAATATCAGTCGAATTTTTGGCCGTTTGTTTTGATCGACTTTTCCAATACTGTACAGTGTACACAATTTAGATTTCGGAGTAGTGGTTACAGTACACCTATCCACGGGCACAATGGCGACGAAATTTATATTATCGAATGTCGGTCGACAAGTATACAGTACCGCGGACATGGACAGCAAAATAATAACCGAATCAACAGCAAGGCTTACGACGCCCACAGCTCGACGGTTTTGTGCATACAATAGACTCGATGGGATTTAAATTAATACATCCTCTTGGCGTTGTTAAGTCTGTCTCTGTCTGTGTGTGAGTACAACAGTAGTAGTAGTAGTAGGTGTAATTACACCACGCCCAGAATTATGCAAAAAACAACGTTGGAAACGGAATCGGTCAGGTTTAATCATATTATGTACGGTGTCTGATTTCTAGCGCGTTATTAGAACCCACGACGTGACGCGTTATTAACAATGGTTGCTCGTTGATCCAAAAACAATAAGCAAAAAAAAAAAAAAATGTAACGTACAGAAAAAACTTTGGATTTTTCTCCAAGGACATAGCAAATGCGTAGGAGAACATAATCTCATTGCAATAATGTACCTATGTTGGAAAATTGAGCTCGGACCGCTCGGACCTGTGAAAAAAATGATGACGCTTTTCCATAATATACGATTGTTATTTATTACCTATATACTTACCCTCGTACGATTTCGTGCCGTTTCGACTTACGACACCCGTCGAGTGGTGCACGGTCTAAAAAAAGATAACATACCACGAACTCGACCGCCGTTATAATAATATTTACCTTGTCAGCTTTACCAGAAACTGACATAATGTATAATCTGATATTTGGAATTGGCCATGTTGTAATATTCATTTATATCGTCCTTTTTTTTTCCGTGTTTTACGTTTGATTTCGGTCTGATTGTGTTCACGTGGAAATAGAAAAGTTGTACAATGTAACGTCACAGAGCTGTCGGCTGTGGTGGGCACATAATGAACGATTCACCGAAGCTTCAGTGCTATAGCTAAACACCCTTGGGTGTCTGTTGGGATGACCTTAAAACATAATTGGGTAATTGGAAACCTAGTTTGTCTTTTGGCAAAATACCCAATATATTGACTTTTGAAAAATCCAGCGACCAAACTTAAGTGTATAGGGTGATCATTTTCTCCCCGCGTTTCACGAGAGTGGATTAACATAAAGTACATAATTATTGTTAAAAAACTGGTTCGCCGTTTGACTATCGCTGTGGACACATGTTTGGACGTTTATATAGGTTAAATCGGAATGCCTTTTAAAACGTTTACATCGGTACAGTGGCACGTTGCTCGTGGGTTTGTGTATAATATTACAAGTTTGGCCGAACGACGTTTAATCTCGGTCCGGATTTTGCCGTGTTTTCCGAAAACTTTTCTAAAACGCCCGTTGAATACTTAATGGCCGCCGTTCGGACGCGACACGAGGAAATAAAACGACATGTTTCTACAGTAAACTACAATACAAATACATAGGTATATACAAAATATATATACAATAATTAATCCCGGGCGGTCGTTTCTATTCGCCCGTCGATATTGATCAAAACAATACAATTTTATTTTACTCTTGGCTGGGCGGAATTAATATTTTCATTTTATATTTTCACTTAAGGCATTGTTTTCCGACCTTTGTTGGCGCCGGCGTTCGATAATAACAACAATTTCGGTTGGCGCCTGCCGTTTACGGCCGCTTATCTGTGCCCTCGAACGGTTTACATAAATATTAAAAAAATCTAAAATCACATAAAATAAACATTATATACAAAATAATTCCCACAGAATCGATAAACATTTTTCTGTGCGAGGCAAAGACAACAAGTATTTCAAGCGTTTTCGGCGTTCCAAATTTGCCCAAGTTTGAAAAATGTCATGCAAAAAGCATAACAAGTCAAACAAGTTATTTATGAGTATCTTTTAGGTTTAGACGCTTTTGCCGGAAGTTAATTAAGAAACGTTTCGCCATAACGGTCAAAGTTTTCTCACTGGCCGCACTTTGGCTTACCGGAGCGGAGGCGGCGGCGGTGGTGGCGGCAGTGGCGAATGGAGGCGGCGGCGGCGGCGTTGAAAGAGCGGAGCACCTCCCGCCAATTATAACAATATTCTAATGAGACGGTGAAGTCGCTCGGTGGCCGGTCTGGGCGGACGGGGGGGCCGTACCGTTCGCGCGCGGCCATTGGTTGTCGCGACGGCGGACGTCTCCGACCTAGCCGGTAAGGGGGGACCCAGGTGCATCGGCCGTCTCTCTCGCGCGCATTGTTTTAACGCATTGGTTTAGTCAGTCCTCCGCGTCCCCCGCCGTCGCCGCCGCCTCCGCTGCCATCACCACCACCAGCACCGGTGTAATTAATATATGCGCGCGGCCGTTACACACCGGCGTTGCTTTCCCCCCCGGCGCGACCGTACTGCGGGCGGCGCGCCGGACGGGGGGACCGCCGAGTCGCCGGCAGCTGCCGTCCGCGCGAAACGACTACCAGTTGTACGATGACCGCCGGCGCCCGTGTCCATAGGACGTGCCGACTATCGCTCCCGTCGTCGAACACGTGTCGCCGCTATCAGCAGTCGTTGTAGACGAACTATCGCAACAACAACAAAAACAAACGCAGCAACAAAATAATAATTATTATTGTTTTCCGTACCGTCCTGTGTCTGTGTGTGTGTGTATGTGTCGCCTCAACACGGATTCTTTACTATTATACAACACCGACGGTGATAGTAAAAAAAGAATAAAAAATAAATATAAATTTATAAATTAATTTTCGCTGTCGGTACGTGCGTTTGATAAGTGTGTCTGTGCGCGCGCGCGCGCGTTTTATTACTGTGCGGTCGACGTTGTTTTGTTTATACTTGATTATTATTATTATTTTTTTTCTTCAAATTTTATTTTTAGACGGGAAAATCATTTTACCCGTCACCGGGACGACTCGGTGATAATACAAATATTGTGTCCACCCGTGCGATTAATCGTTCCGCGTACGGCCAGTGGTCGATCGCCGTCCGTGTCGCGTCGAAGGGAGCAACGAGGCCCGTGGACCATTAGGTAAGCCGACAATTAGTACCTATATTTATTATAATATTATACACAAATCGCAATATTACATAATATTGTAAACGGTCTAGTGTGGTCGCGAGAAAAACCGTAAAAATAGAACGTATCGATTTTTCTTGATAATTAACATTTTTCCTCTTGGGGTTGTACTATAGGACGTATAATTAGGTTTCGAGACGACCGCTCCGGAGGGGTCGGTATTATTATATTCTACCTTATTACAAATTAAAACAAAATCGTATTTCGTCCGTGGCCTGTCTGTAGGCTGATTTTTAAAATTATATAATATTTTCCTTTTAGCAAACACCCTCGTCAAAATATATATTTAATTTTTTTAAACATTATGTTTGTGGCGAGTCGGTGCCAAAAATAGGCGACACGATAACGGACCCGCCGTCGAATCGGTTCCTGCGGCGAAGACGATGCTCGTTCATTGTCTTTGTACCCGAAGTCCATATGACACCTATTCATATATATATATATATATTTTTTTTATTATACTCCCATCATCGTCGGATGGCGTTTATTTTTAAAAAGGTCGTCAAACGTTGCACGAGACTCGACGACGACGACATTGTGTGAAATATTTTAGCCTCTCGTCCACACGAATTATAAACGTATTAGCCCGTTACAAAAGCACAATCGTCGATATTGTTATTGATATTGCTATTATTCGGTAAAACGAAGGTCGCGCGGTGAACTAAGTGCGTTTCGATGATTATTTATTTTGCGGTCTGATTAATAATTACGATTTTACAAAAAAAAATCTGTACGATTGGGCGTAATATTATGTTCAGCGACGGTTTTCTCCATTCGTTTCAAGGTCGCCTCCTTTTGTTCGATTTTACCCTACAGTGCAAGGCCGAAGCACTCCGCCGCGTCCATCATATAATATTGTCTGTTAACATCGTTTTGAGTTCCGAGTGTGTCATTTTTGGACTTTTTCAACTTCCCCAGATTCACCATCAATGACGAATTTTCAAGAAAATGTTTACACTTAATTTTCAAATGGGTGGCCTTTCGAGCCGAGGATTCTTTGTCGGCGGCGTGCGGCTTGCTGTCGTTCTTTTGGCGGGAAGTCCGCGCTCCTGCCGCTCGACAGGTCTAATGAATAATATCGTTATTATGCATACAGGCGGCGGCCACCAATTAAAAGCCGTCCCGGGTGTCGTCGGGTATGTGCGCGCGATTCGACCGATAGGCGTGGCTGATAAACGAAGTAGATAACGCGGAGACCCACCCCGCCCCCGCGGACACCGAAATATGTATTAATTAAAACGCATCCCTCCGCGCCGTTCGCACACGGTATGTGCTCAAAAAGCTGTGTACTGTGACAACAACGACGACGGCGGCGGCGCCGCTCTTGTCCCGGGCGGGGGCTGTTTTGAATATGCGCGGCCGACGACGACGCATTTGATGTAAAAGCGGCGCGCGGGCCACGTTCCCCCGCATTAGCATATACGGCGAAGGCCACCCTCCCCTCCTCCCCCCCGGCCGCCACCCTCGGGTCGTAGTGCGCCGCCGCCGCCGTCCCGGACACCGCCGGAGGAGACGCACGCTTAATTATGTACGGCGGGGGCGGAGGAACCGCTACCCCTAAGGGTGCGGGGATGGGGGGGGGAGGGTGCGGAAAGCGTTGCGCGCGGAGACGTCCGCGGCCCCTTTTTCCATGCAAAACAGAAGCGTCCCGGCGCTGCCGCAGGCTCACGCGCGCTCTCCGGTTGTCGAAAAAATTATATCGGGCGCCCACCGCCGCCGCCGCCGCCGCCGTCGTCGACAGTTCCAAATAACCATTCGCTCTGTGATAATATACGGTCTGTGTAGTTCCTCAACATTATAATTATTATTTTTATCGTTAAAAAAAAAAAAATATTATATTAATACAAACAATTATTTATTTTATTTTATTTCGCGCTAATTACTAACTTTTTATTAAAATTGTTTAAATCGCGTCTCGCATTCGCGCGTTAACATCTCTGGGATAATACCGCGTTGCCGGAAAATAAAAAAAAAACGGCCCAAACGGACAACAACTTATTAATACCAATCGCCTCGCGCAGTGGCCGCCGACGCCGCAGCCGCCGCGATTTACCGTTTACCACCGGATCAGCTGCCCGTCGCGAGTGCGTGCCGCCTCACCAGCCGGACACCGTCCACTACCGCCGCACTACTGTGTCTAACGTGAGTACACATTTGCCCGTCGTGTCACACGATCTCATTATGACAAGTGTTTTTTTAGATGGACTGGTTTTAAGAATTTTTTTTTCTTTGTGCACGGTCAACAATTTTTTATTTGTTTTTGGAAAAAAACAAGTGTTTCTTTTTTTTAAACTTTTAACTGAATTTTATTAATTAAAGTATATATTAAAATAAGCGCAAAAAAAAAAAATCAGTTATTAACTGTAGAATTTATCCAACAAAATCATTTTTTCCGTGTGAAAATTATTAAAATCTACATGATGAAATACGTTGATGGTGATCGATTTGTAGTTGAAAATTATATTCCAATACAATTTTATCGTATCAATTAGAAAATAAAAAAGCGATGTTCGTGGTTTCAATTTTAGATTATTTTTGTGCTCTTAGGAATGTCACTTTGGTTTTTTTTTTATGAAATGTATGAATTTTTTAAGCATGCATAATTAAAAAAAAAAAAAACTTATACTATTAATAATTTAATAATATATTTTGCGTGAAAAGTGATACCGACGGTTGCCGAGTCACGCTTCTGTCACATCAAAAGTTTTTTGTTTTCCAAAGACCCAGTTGGGGATTTTTCGGCGTTGGCAAATAATAAACCTTGACTAAAAAAAAAAAAACAGCGGAAGCCCGGTAAATATTTAGTGTTAAACTAAAAATTTGTTTTATGTTTACCCAAAAAAACCTTACTGAGTTGAGGTTTTTTTTTGAACCCAATTGTTTTGCAAATTCTATTTTTTTTAATTCACCGGGCTCGGGTGTTTTACTATAATAATATTTCCACATTTAGATTTCTCTTGTTGTTAACATTACCGTTCAAATACGTCGGTAGGAACATAGTATTTCGTTGAGCCGACTCGACAGCTTTTTTTTTATGATTTTCTACTTGTTCCAAAACCTCGAGGAATAAATACGGATGCGGACTCTCTACACTTACAATACTGATAAGCTGTGCATAAACACACACACACACACACTATATTTACTATACTTATTATGATTATTATTGTACGCATAGACACAACGTTGGCACCCTCGCGTTACCTACTCGCTCCTCTATTCGGTCGTCCGAGCGCACGTTTCCACCCTCGTATATTTAGACACACTATATATATATATATTTATATATATGTCTGTGTGTACCCACCACTGCCGTCGCCTCACCCCACGGGACTCCGGGGTTTTTCTTAGTTAGTTTGCGCTAATCCTATTAACCGATATCGATTTTTTCCCCGCTCTTACACACACACACACATTACATAATGACGTGTATATGAGTGTGTACGCGAAAAGCGCCTATACTAGTAGAGTAATATAATGCATATATCTATATATAGTGAATTTGGCAACCGAGCGTCGAGTCGCGCCAACGTGAGGTTTTCAAAAGCCCGGTAAGAGGGAGATGATAGGAAAATAATTATTCCTATGGGTTGTTGCGCCCGTTTGGTTATGTGTTTCCACCGAATCGATGTGACAAATAAATATTTTCACATTTTCTCGGTGGCCAAAATTATTATTTTCTTTCGCGCGCGCCCGAAAAAACTTGTTCAAATACAATATTATCGGCGGAGAGGGTGAAAAAAAAACCCTGTTGTAAAACTATTGATTATTCACCACCGACGTATTTGTATGTGTATATATATATACATAAACACACGCATACTGTCTCCCCTAGTTTGCCTATATGTAATATCGCATGAGTGAGTGTGTATGTGTATGTGTGGCTGATGAACCGCGCTTTCGGTAGCCGCATTCTTTTTTGTTCTCTTCTTTTTCTTATTTTTCTCTACCCTCGTCCCTACTACCCCTGAGCCTTTACTAGGCCTTTCCTACTTCTCTGTTCATTCACCGTGTGGTAATAGTACACACACACTTCCCCTCTCCCCGTCGTTGGCGCATTGTCGCGGCCACCGCCGGCGTTATTATCCGTTTTCTTCGCCTCGGCCCGTACACACACACACACACACACTCATGAAACTTTAAGTCCGCCACCGCGTTATTACAAATGATACACGCACACACAACTGCTGATTAGCTTTTTCTTTCTATCCGATTTATTATTATGTGTGTGTACAATATATATATATATATATGTATACAATTTCTTTGTAGGTTTTTGCCCTCGAAAAAGGGTGGAACTGTACAGTCACCGTTAACCCAATACACACACACATGCACATCATTAATCATACGAGGCGCGGCCGAAAGAAAAGATAATGTTTTTCTTTTTGGATAAATTAATATTATATATTATATATATATATATGTCATCACTAACGCTCGCGATGGACGTGGGTAAAAATATGCTCGATACGGTTGAGACGGTTTTCCGTACCGAAAGGTAGGTTACGTTATTTTCTTAAAGCGGTACAACTTAAGTGTGAGAAACTTTTCCGGTCGTCGCAATGTCTCTCTTCGTCGGCCGCCACTCGCGTTTCTGTTCTTAATTCTAGAGTCGTAAAATCGTTTATGTTCTTTGCTTGCTTGCTAAGCGGTACATTTACACAAAAGTGTGGGGGAGGGGGTAGGTATGGTAATGTAAAAGCGTTAAAAAAAAAAAGTCCTTTGTTTTTACTGTCGGCCGAGCAGACGGGGCAATCCGAAACGGGACTTTTTTTTGCGACAATTGTATTTTATTTTATTGTTATAAAATTGCGTTTATTATATTTTGTGAAATCATCAAAAAAAAAAATAAAAACGAACGAGAGTTATCGAATTTAATTGCGTTTCGCAATATGTATTATGTAAGAACAATAGTAATTTATTTATTAACATTATATATATATTTCCGT